TTTTTTTTGGTTTTTTTTTTTGTGTTTTGTTTGGGATTTTTTGTTTTTGTAAATATAGATGTTTGGGGGGGGTTGGGGGGGGGGGGGGGTTTGGGATGGCATAACGGAGGCATTTTCGACTAAAAACTAAGTTTTGGGAAGAAATTCTCGAACTGGCTTAGGACTAGAGTATGATAGCAGCAGCGGTGGCGGCGGCAGCGGAATAATGAAGATGGGAAATCAATCGATAGGTTGCAAAATTATACGTATAAAAATTAAAAATAAATCGATACATAAACGATAATTGTATGTGTGGTGGGTGTGGGTGTGTGTGTGTGTGTGTAGGCATGAGGTATGTGGTGTGGTGGGTGTGTGTGTGTGGGCGTCTATGTCTAGGTCTAGGTCTAGGCGTCTTAAAACATGCAACATGCGGCAAACATACAGCCAGAAACTGGAATCGTAATTCACGATCAAGTTTCGGCTCATCCTAAAAGCTATATTTATATATAGAAATACCATACGATACGACAAACAACGAAAATAATATTATAAAATATATTTATATATGTACGAATGTATAGACAGTCAGAGACAGAGACAGAGACAGAGACAGAGAGAGAGAGAGAGAGATATTCTGGTAGGAGAGGTGTTGATCTGTTGCTCTAGCTAGCACTTTTGGGTCGTACTCCTTTGGGGGATTTTCTATTCATTCAGAACACAGTAATACGAATACGGCTACGTACAGTAAAGGCAAAAGGATAAATGTAGTTGTACAGGGGCAAAGGACAACAAATTATAGTTTCTGTACTGTACAAAAAGCATTACAAAGAAGTGGGGCAATACTTGAGAGAGAGAGAGAGAGAGAGAGAGATATATAGAAGATTTATAGCATGCAGGTACATTCTGGGGGAAGTACATGTATCCAGGGATAAGCCACAGAGCTGGCTCTTTGGACAAACTGAAGGGGAAAACTCGCTCCATTTTACATGCACTTCCCTTCCATGGGTTTGGGTTTGGGTTTTACTCTACTTAATTAAATTAGAATAGTTTTGCTCAGTTTTGGTTAGAAGATAGTTATGGGGGGTGGGGTGGGGGGTGGTAGGGAGGGAGGGCAGAGTGGATGGTGGAACGGAAATTAAGCTACAAATGTTCTACAATTTTTATTACAGTTTGTCTTCGGTTTTTCTTTCTCTTCTTTCTCGCATTGCTTTCGAGGCTAACGTTAAAATATATATTTTATGTGTGTTGTGTTTCAACCAAAAGCTAATTACAAATTTTCATACACAATATATGGATATACCATATAGAGAGAGAGAGAGAGAGAGAGAGAGAGAGAGGGGGGAAGATATTTGATCGACTTGTGCGTTAGGGTTTAAAAAGCTCAGAGAGAAGAAGATCTTTGTGTGGTTGGTTGGTACTTTGTAGTTGTAATAATTGTGCTAGCTTTGGTTCTGGCTATGTGGCAAGTGGGTCTCTACTCACCGTCAATGTTGTCCGTCTGGTCGAGCTGCATCTGTTTGGCATCGTTGTGATCCTCGCGCGCATCCGCTGCCTGCATGGCGTGCTGCGACAGCAACGTTGACATATCCTCCGCGTGCAGCTTCAGAGCACCGCTCTGCATGGCACACATGGAGTGAGGGAACGGACAGAGACAGAGACAGAGACAGAGAGAGAGACAGAGAGAGAGAGAGAGAGAGGGGAGAGAGAGCATTGTAGTAGAGTTCTCAGTTTTATTTGATCCAATTGCAAAATGCTGCCAAAGCTTGCTTAAATCCTAACTTTACGTTATACAAAAACAAAGTCTAGAGTCTAGGGTCTAGGGCCTAAGGCTAATCCTGAGCGGTGTGTTGTGGGCCCATCCGGCCTGGGGCTAAGGGCCATCCTTGCCCACATTGATCGTGATAATGTCGGGCGCCGATGACTGCTCCTGGAGCTCCCGCTCGTAGCACAATCGATGCGACTTGCACTTGTTGTGATGGTTGACAATCTCCAGCCGGAAATTGGAGTTGCCCTCCACGAAGCTGGTGCGTATGTCGGCCAGCTCGGGGCTCCATTTGCGGCAGTGTTTGCAGAACATGGTGTTGGCTCGCTCGTCGTACTGCAGCCACTCGAACTGGTACAGCCAGTTGGAGCGGAAGCGTCCGCTCTTGCGGGAACTGCCAGCCACAGCCACTGAGGTTGGTGGCTGCAAGGGTTTCCTCTGCTGCTGTTGCTGCTGCTGCTGCTGCTGTTGCTGCTGCTGCTGGAGCAGTCGCTGCACCGTGGTGTCGAGGCTCTCCTGCTGGTAGTGCTGCTGCAGGCTCTTCAGCTGCGCCTCCACCGCCTGATGGAGCAGCATTTGGTGCACGGACTTGCTGCTGCCTAAATACGCCTCGCTCTTTTTCACCTACATTTCCAGATGGGGAAATCAGCTTGAGAATTCTGATAGAAGGAAGGATTTTCTGTGTTCTTTTGCGGCGTCTTCGTCTTCGTTTCTTTCGCTTTCGCTTTCGCTTTCGCTTGATTTTAGACGGTAGCATTGTTGAGATTTTTTCTTTTCTTTCGTTGGCCGATATTCCGTTTTTGAAATTATATTTTATTTCTCTATATTTCTCTACGACAAAAGCAACCAATCCTTCGTTCTGTTTCGACTTTTCTGCTCGACTTTTTCTTATACAACAAATATACACAAATTTTGGCAGCAGCTCTGTGGCTGCGGGAAGCATTTTGCAATTGGTTTTGGCTTACAGTTAGATGGTCAAAAAAAGCTTTTACAAGTATGTTCTGTACTGTAATTATTTAGTGCTGGAACCATCGAACCATCGGTTCAAAAAAAGAAAAAACCTTAACAAACTAATGCAGCAAAACAAAACAAAACAAAACAAAACCACGATCGAGAAGGTTCGGTTCTTCGATTGACTCTGGCACTTACCGGCAAGTAGTCGGGCGGCAGGGCCACATGATGCTCGCGATGTTGCTGCTGCTGCTGCTGTTGGGCATCCATCAGCTCCTGCTTGATGCTCAGCGACTGACTGAGGCCGCTCAGGGCACTGGCCGCGCCCACATTGCCACCACCGCCGCCCAAATGTCCGCCGGTGGTCATTGAGAGCGGTGAATCGTGACGTCCGCCCGCATCCTCCGACTCCGATGTGCTGCCTCCCGTCTTGGGCACGGGGCTCGACTTGAAGTTGCCCTGCAAGGCACAAAGAGAAAGAAAGGAAACTTATCAGCAAAATAATCCCAATCGCGCTGCCAGAGGTATCGCTGTGATAACAACAACGTTTCACGTGTGCCAGCAAAAGGAGAGAGCGGCACGTGCCTCGACCACAAAAATTGCACTCGCTGATAACAGCGACAGAAATAGCAGCAGTCCCACACACACACACACACACACACAGGCAAACAATATTGTTTGATTGTAGATCACTGGCCACAGCTGATAGCAGCACACGCGTACCTACGTAGAACATAAATGTACGCCCCGCGGGGCAGTGTCATGTGAGGCGCAAATGCCGCAAATACCCGACAAATTTTGATACTGTTTGTTGTTTGTTTGCCTGCAAACCCCCGCCAGCCAGCAGATAGCAGCCAAGCTATCACAGCCTGATGAGCAAAGTTTGGCAAAGCCAACGAAAAATAAGGTACGAAGGCCAATGTGGTGGAGTGGCTCGAAGCATGCAATACCCAGGGAAAAGTGCATGAACTTCAATCCATGTTTTCTATATTTTTTGCACATTTTTTGCAGTTTCATTTTACTCAGATTTAATTTATGAAATATCGCTTTTATGGCTATGAACTTCGATCTATGTTTTCTATATTTTTTGCACATTTTCATCTGCCAAAGAATAGCCCAAAATCGAGTACGAGTCTGTGAATAATTGTATGGACTTTGGATCCTTTTTATCAAGAAATTATTTGAGATTTAATCAGGGAATGCTAGATAAGGAATTATCTATTATATTTCTTTAATAAATGTTCGCCAAATGTAATTAATGTTTTGAAGAAAAAGATTCATGAATGAATGAATGCGAATTTAGAGCCAAAAGTGCACAAAACTGTTTGAACAGCTGGCTTTTGATTGTGTTCCCTACAGAACTATCATTAAATACTTCAAGTTTTGCTCATTATTAATTGTCTGAAATCAGATTTAAAATAAAACAAATCTAATTGAATTTAATGGAAATATTTATGCTCAAAAAAAAACCTGCACAAATCCAATGTAGAAATGCGTTAATTTAATTGAAATTTCTCTAAAAAAAACCACTGCAGAATTATAACATTTTAATAACTCGATTGTCCTGTGACCAATAAACATTTGACGCCCGATTTGATGTGAGATAATTTCAAATTAAATTCCATTGTCAGACAATTAAAATGCAGCAACTTTAAATTGCGGAAGCTCGCAATTGCCTGGGTTGGAGCACAGCTCCAAAGAAGAGGCAAACAATTTAATTATGCGAGGAGTTGAAGTGATGTGTACCCAACATTAGGTTAGGGTAGGGAATCGATCGTTTTGCTCACCTGAGAGTCCTGCGGGTAGTGCCTGTCCTGTGCATGGGCAGCGTTCGCATGGTGGCTCGAGGACAGCGAGTTATCACAGTTGGATGATGAGTTCTTACGTCTGCGCTTACTACTACTCAGCTGGTCCACCGGCGTGGTGGAGAGCTCCCGCTCGCGGTCCCTGCTGCTGTCCCGCTCTCGTTCCCGCTCTCGTTCCCGCTCCCTTTCTCGCTCTCGATTGTTGTTGTTGCTGCTGCTGTTGTTGTTGTTGTTGTTGTTGTTGTTGCTGGTGCTGCTTATGTTGCTGTTGTTGTTGTCCTTGGTGCTATAATCGAGCTGCAGCAACTCATCGCGACTGTCGGCCCGCTCGAGTGTGCCCCGCTCGCTGCCACGATCGCTGCATGCGTCGCCGCGACTGTTGAGTGCATCGGCGCTGGCACTGCGATTGGCAGCAGCGGCTGCCACAGCAGCCGCCACAGCGGCCGCCGCTGCCGCACTGGCGCTGCCCACGCTGGGAGATCGTTCGCCGGCGCTGGGCGTCGTCAGGCCCAAGGCCGCGGCGGCGGCGGCGGCATTAACGCTGCTGCTGCGCTGCGTCAACTCGTCGCGCAGGTCGCGTTCGCAGCGGGAGCGCAGGGAGTCGCGTGAGTCGCGCACCCCGTCGCCCAACCCAAGGCCGCCGCCATAGCTGGAGGAGGGTCCGCGGCCGGTGGGGGAGCTGGCGGCCGAGTCGCGCAGCTTGTCGCAGTCGCTACGATAGTTCAGATTGTTGTTATCTGTGAGACCGCGCACCTGAAGCGATGCAAGAGATACGATATTTGTATATTAGTTTAGATTCGCGGCCAATGCAGTGCCTGACAGGAAGTACAGTCACCGCGGGGAGCACTTAGTGCAGAATTGTGCAGAACCCACCTGCAGGCTCTCGGCCGTCTTGAGAAACATGGGCAGCGAGCTCTGGCCCACATTGACCTCGCCCTTGTACATAAAGTCGAGCAGCGAACGCATCTCTGAGTATCGGACATCTTTCAAGTATATGATGGGATGTGGATGTTGATTCTGTAGGAAGATCGTCTCGAAATATGGACTGCAGGCGGACAGTATGGTCTGATGGGCCTGCAGAAAGTCAAGGGAAATCCTTTCTTTAATGTTTATTCTACTGGAAGTAAATCTTCGTGGACTTTACCTTGACTGTTTCGCCCTCGCAGGCGAGCGTGACATCGCAGAGCGCCTCACGTTGCAGCAGGGATGTGAGGACGCCGGTCAGATTTGTGGGATGATTGTTCCAGCGTAAGCAGAATTGCTGGTCCATCGCTCCTTGGTCAGTGTTGTACCTGCAACAGGTGTTCAAAGTTTAAGCTATGAGCATGGAAATTCCATTCAGATATTCGTAGGTGCTAACCAAAGTTCTGGTTTCAACCGGCACCGATTAATTAGTGACTTAATTAAGTTATTTATCGGTAACACGATTCGGTTAAGATTGTGATTGTATTGGAGGAAAGGAAAACTGAAAACTACAAGGTAGGCTCTATTTTTGGCCCACTTCCTGCCTCTTTCGCTATTCGGAAACGGAAGCAGTTTACTGCTTAAACTGTTATCGTCGCAGCCAGACTGATTGCTCCTCCCATTCCCATTGCCGCTTCTCGTGGGTGCGTGTAACACTAGAAATGCCAACGATAATTTGTCATTTAACACAATTGTTCATTACAATTGCTGGGATGCTGTTCTCAATTATTTATTGCATTTCCGTTAGCCGATAACGTGCAATCCACGTACCACCAAACCCATCAGCCCACCGCACACTTGTGTGGCCAGACTTGGCAGGGCAGAGGCAGCAGCATGTGTGTGCCTGTGTGTGCCTGTGTGTGCCTGTGTGTGTGTGTGTGTAGAGTGTTAATTGCCATTTGTTGCCGCCGTGTTTTGCTGCTGGCTAACTGTTAATTACTCAGCCAAATAGACAAGCAGCAATCCAGGCAAATTTAGTTGTAAGCCAAACTGAGCAGCAGACGTGCTGTGCGCCGCGTGTTGGGGAGCGGGTGGTCGAGCATAATTAATGGCCGTTCAGGCTTATCTACGGTAGATTTATGGAGTCCTACACCGGAAGAAAGTAAGTTCAAAGTGGAAATTTCCAGTACACCCTCTTTGTGAACTGCTTTGCCGCACTGCTTTGATGAACTGCTTAACCTGCCCTCGCGCCTACGTGCTTTACACCGTAGAACGCTCGCTGTTTGCTTTGTTTTTGTTGCTGTTGTTACTCTTTTACAATTCCCTGGAATCTATGCCTAATCTTAACGGTCTGCGGGCAAAGTTCTAATGGGGAAACGTCAGGTCGTTTGGCGGGGGGCTGCAGGGAGACTCCTGATTTGATAAGAAGCACTTTTGCTTTTCTTTACAATGCCTCCATCGGCAGGGAGAGATAATAAACAATACAATCAAAACAAGAGCACGACAGAGAGAGCGAGAAAGAGAACGAGAACGAGCGCTCGCGAGAGCTTTGGCGTGGGAGAGGAGAGCTTTTTGCCGGCGTCAAAGAACTTTTTTGCAAAGCGAATGAATGCAGTGGGAAGAGAGCCGAAAGCGAATAGCGTAGCGGCAGGCTGTCGTAAAGGCAGGGGGGGCAGAGCCCAAGGCGGGTGTGAGGGCTTCCACGTGCCGGGAGAGAGAGAGATTAGATCGAGTGAGTGCGAGCATAACAATAATAATAATTACAGCTACAACTACAGATATAGCGGGTGCGCGCGTGTGCTTGTGTGCTTTTTCGTGTGCGTGTGGGGGGGCCTCTGCGCTGTCGTAAGCATTTTTATTGGCACGCTGCCCTCAGCCCCCGCCGTTGCTCTGCCTCAACTACATCCACCGATTACGGTCTTTGTTTGTGTTGTGTTTTAGAATCAACGAAAAAACACAGCAACAACAAAGAAATAGCACACACACACATCAGCGCTACAACCGCAAGCTAAACTTTCAATTTCATTCGCACAAATCTTTAGTATTTAGCACTTAATATTTTTGCACTCGCTGATACTTAATCGTGGGGAATATCATAATTATTGAGACCCAAAATTCATTTAAAATCACATCATTTTTACAGCCCAAATATACACTTTTTGCTTTACTGTAAGTAATGCTAAAAGGTTCAGCATCTCATGATGAAATTTTCCACTCGATAGCTCGAAGGTATTCCCATGGTCGAAATTCTTCCACTTTGCTGCTTTGCTCTTGTAAATGTTTTTTGTCGATTGTGTGTGTGTGTGTGTGTGTGTGGAAGTGAATTGCGAATCATTTTCATTTGGTAGTAAAATTCGTTTGCCAAATATTTTTGCATAGATATATATACAGATATATTCATATACGACTAGATCTACACTCAAATGTAAATGTTTTCAGTCATTTCGCAATTCAAATTGTGTTGTGCATTCCAATTTTACATATTAAATTATTCTGCATAGATTTTCACCAGGATTTCCAGGGTCCCAGCAGCACCAAAACACCCTTGGACATGGATAAATACACGTGCCATTTATCGATTGTTATTTCTGAACTGTATCTTCTGTGTGAAATGCTGTAAGGAAAGATCTCAGGAAAACTCTAGCATAAATTCCCAGTTTATAGATAGTTGGTTTTGTTGTTGTGCTGATAACAAATAATATATGACGACATCATAAATCGCTTGTAAATTTCACTAAAATAGGTCGGGGAAAACCCAAAAGCTATCTGCATATTTGCGAGGTTAAGCAAGTAGACAGGAAAATGACTCACGCAGGTGGCAATAAATATTAGATATTATTTTTAGTGTAAAGTTATCAGAGTGGAGTCAACGCTTCTAAATATTTATTACTCATTATGCCACCTTTTGTTTCAATTAAGTTATCATAGCCGTCCGATCGTTAACTGAATCGACCCATTAAAAACAATTAGTTATTCCCTTAAATACATCACATCGCCACACTGACAGCCCCCAAGCCCCATTTCTGGCTGTCATTCTATTCGGCCAGTTCAACTTTTTTGCTTTAATTACTTTACTTTTGGAATACAACAAAAAAGTTAAGGGGGGAATAAGTAACACAACAAAAAGATCGCAGCTTGGCCAACGCCGGCGCCAACAAAACAGCACAAAAAAACAACAAAACATCAAGCCAAGCATTTTTGTAGTCCCCTTCCATCTCTCTTTTGCTCTCTCACTCTTTCTGCTGCTCTGTTTGCAGTCGCTGTCAGCGGCGTCAACGTCAGCGTCGCCATGCGATTGCAGTTTTTGTTTTCACTTGCGCTTTCAATGCAAATTTGCAATAAAAGCAAACAAATGTTTGCTGTTGTATTTGCTGCTGCTGGTTTCTGGCTGCTACTTTTGTTTAATTAATGAGAACTTTTACTTTCGACGCTGACTGACGCTGCGCTGCCTGCGTCGCTGCTGCTTACGTAAATTGTTTAAAAATATTTACGCCGCTTATCAGCCAGAGAGAGAGAGAGGGATGGGGAGGAGCCTGCTCTGTGCGTTGCAGGTGGCGGGGTAGCTGGCGATCAGCAAATTGCGCAATATGTTAAATGCCGCTCAACCGGGTGCCTCGAGACGTGCCTCAGCCCCCGCCGCTGCTGCTGCTGCTGCTGCTGCTGCGGCTGCTGCTGTAATGCCGCGAATCAATATCAAGCTTGCAGATACAGCGGCAGATAAAGATAAAGATAAGGCATGATGATGAGGCAGGGAAATAATAAAAGAAAAACATTTTGTCACGCGTCAACAGCATATTTAGATAATCAACGCTAACTGCCAGTCATACAGAAGCCACACAAACACACACAGAGATAGGCAGCATGGAGAGCGAGAGCGTATCAGTAATGGCCTTCAACTTTCAGTTTAGTGGCGCCTTATCGTCCGTGGCAGCGATGCCGCAGCGCTCTCAGCTGTTCTGCTTCGCTGTAAGAGAGCGTTACGTCCACTCCCCCCTCCCTGTACTCGAACTCGCTTCGTGGTTTTTTTCAATTTACACGTTCTAAATAGTTTGTGCAAAAGCCGCACGAGTGTATGAGAGATACACGAGCACTTGACAGTGGGTGCGCGGGGTGGCAGGGGGCACTGCTAGCATCACGGGTGGAGCAAACAGCGATAATAATTATAAATACAAAGTAGTTTGTTGACGTTTTGTGCGTTCGTTCGTTCGTTCGTTCGTTCGGTTTGTTCGTTTCGTTCATTCGCTTCGTTCGTTTTCCAATTCTCGCTCCGCTGCTGCTGCTGCTGCTGCTGCTGCTGCTGCTGCTGCTGCCGCTGCCTCTGCCGCTGCTGTTTATCTTTTGACTTAGAACTTTACATGTTGGCGTAGGTTGTCCGCTGGCCGCGCTGTAAATTTACCGTTTTGCCCCATCCCGGGGGTTCAACGAACGCTGAATGAGCGCGGCAGCGCCCACATGGCCAATCATTACGACGCTGCTGGGTTAAGCTCTCGTCTCGTAACGTATCTGGATGGATACAATTTGGAGCGAAAATTGCTTTCGTTTCGCTGCCCTTCAGCGGTAGCTGCTTGCCTGTGGAGGCATACAAATCAATGCTGCAAAATCGCACAAAAGATGCGTTTCCAGCGATAACCAAAATGAATAATTTGAACCTATTAATATAGATACACACACCACACACAGACAGCTACATGTGCAGAAGGCAAACGAGATCAAGATTAGCGCCTCGATTCGCCGCTGCTCACCTTGACTCAATGGTCAAATGTGCAAAATGCCTCAAAGTAAACTTTGAACAACAAACTTTAGAGATACGACAGACGAAGCGACTGACTGACTGACTGACTGACTACCAGTCGATGATCGTGAATCAGCCGTGAGCAAGCAGCATTTGCAAAAAGGTTTGGCCAGCCAGCCAGGCCTCAAAAGCCAGCTTGTAAAAGATGAAGGTCGCCTGTTACAGATACACAAAAACACACAAACACACACACAGATAGCTGCCCCCTCCAGCCGATCATGTTTTGATTGATTAAGCCCGGCCTGTAAACAGAGGCCACCAAAAACTCCCATTTAGCCTTTGGCTTGGGGCTTGGCCAGACCGCGAAATTTTTAGTTCGGTTTGTTGTGCAAGGTCAAATGTAGGAGTAGGTTGGCTGGGCAGCAAAGAGGCGCAGCAAGTGGGTCACGATGCCAGCCAGAAACCAACAGATGTGGGGGGGCGAACGATATTAGGCTAATGGGTATTACAGGTTTTAGATTTAAGCCTGGTCGCTGGTTTTAGACTTTTTCTTCTATTTTTGGGGAACCCTAAATGTAGACCCGCTTGGCGGTTTCCTGTTATTCCAGAACACGTTTTTGTCTTACAAAATGTATGAGGGAACCAAGACAAAGCTTG